TCCTTCGTTGTTTCGAGCATACTTTGGCCGACCACGTGGCCCGGCATCGGTATCTGCAGTTGCACACCCTCGGCTTTCTAGGAAAACCATTTTATTTCTAGTATTTGGCGCTCTTGGATAGCTCATTACCGTTCTATTCCTATTCTATAATCCTTCGTTTTTATCATTTTTCACATCGTCTGTCACTGCCTCTGATAATTAATATTTGTTTACCAAGAATAAGTAAACGATATCGTTATTGCGCTATGCAGAAAGTGCGATGTAGAAGTAAGTCGACTGGCAAATTCGTACGACGGATATTTCGGGTGATTTTTGCGTTTAATCGATCGAAAACGATGGTAAAAACGGGACTATCGTTTCTCCACGCAATTATCACGAGCAGGAACAAATAATGGAAAATTTCTCGATAAATCAAAAAAATAAAGTTGAAAAATAAAAAATCCGCGTAACCACGAGCATCCTATTTTATATTGATTTTCTGAATTTTTAACTGAAGCGTGCGTGCACATATATATTTTTTTACACACTTTTTACAGCCTTAACGATCTGATTAGCTTAAAAAATTCGAAAAATTAGGGAAAAACTTTGAAATTTAACAGATTTGTACGATTTTTATAATATTTATTGTACTATATTTTTTATCGTACAAACCAACTGTCCGCATATAAATGTCTATGGATGATAGAAAGTTATAGAAGCTTTCCCTAAGCTTCGTACGAATGAAAAGTAACGGTAACTTACTGTATATTTATTTATTTGCAATCGTCAATAATTAAATAAATAAAACTTTACGGCTGTTAATTTCAACATCATATTTCGAATAACTCGAACAAATTATTTAACATATGATGAATTAAGATAAAACAGATTTATTATTAAGTTGTTTGAAGAAAAAAATTTAAAAACATACTTTCTAATAAACTCTTTTGTACTTTGAACAATATATAGTAATAATAATTGTAATTATAAAAATAATAATAAAAAATAATAATTAAAATAATTTCTTTATTTATTTTATCTTTAATTAAACTTTACCATCAATAGATTGTAGAAGACATATAACATAATAATATTAATTGATAGGTATATTAATAATGTAATGATAATTTGATATTTTGGAAATTTACATTACCAGTTTTGGATGGATTTTTAATAAGGCATTTTTTGCAGCCTCTGCTTTTGGAGTTTGATTAACAGCATCTTCATATGCGTAGAGATTTTGTCTAACTATATTACTAAATGAAACTACAGAGTTATCGACAAACGTTATTGTATTAATTCCCCATCCGAGGAGGACTCTGGCCACCGAGCAACCTAATGTTCCAGCTCCTAATAAAAGGCATCTGAGTTTTCTAATATAGTCTAGATCTAAATTAGGTACCAATCGCCACTTTATTAGTCTTAAATTCAAACTGATCGCTCTGTCCAAGTGCCTACAAGTGCAATAAATTTAATTATTTGCCATAAAGGCCAAAAAAGTATAAATACAAATGTAACGATACTCTGTATGATTAATATATTGTGTTTGATAAATTAGTTACCTGATTGGATCCATCGTTTTTGATAAATTAACAAAATTTGATCCCATTTTGCCATGCTCGTTTATTTCCCAACCTACTAAATTTCCCTCTGACAATGCTGTCCTTAAATCTATGCTACTTTTTTGTTCTTTGGGTTTAATTGTATAAACTATGGCGTTGTTAAAATTCTGTCCTCGCACTGAAATAAATTTCATCCACTTTGCAAAGCAAACATTGGGACAATGAAGAAATAGCAGGCACAAAAGATTTCTCAATGGCCAGCCAGGAGCGGAATGCGAACACGGATCATAAAAAGCAAAATAAATATCTGCTTCGTTCTATAAATAAATGTATAATTATACAAGTTTAATTAGAAAATGTTTAATACAAAACGCTTGTGTTAATATTAACAAGTGCTTACGAGTAGACAAAACTACTTATAACAGTAATATGAGATTCGTTATTAAAAAACAGTTGGCCATCTTTTAATAGTGCCTCTATGTTAATTAGGTTAATTAAACTTTAAATAATCACCTCTAAATCGCTTGAATTTCCAATTTCAATACCTCGAGCTAAACTAACGATTTCTAATGCTTTTGATTCCTTTGTAATAATAGCAGCAAAGAAGTTCCTGTGCTTGGGATCTAATTTTGCGAATCCTTCTACCAAACTTTCAAATTGACTAGAACAAAATTCTTCTTTAACAAATACCGACTCTTTAGCATAATGTACCTCGGGTAAATTAAATGGTGTAGGATGCGCTACCCAATAATGAAAACAGAATTTTTTTAAATCTGCGTAAGAGTGTATTAGAAACGTCATTAATTCGTATGGTTTCTCAATGGCAGATCCACTTATGAGTGAATTAATTAATCCTTTTCCAAGTGTAAGCATGAAAATTTCTGGATTGGTTTGCTTATACATATCAAATGTATTTTTATTAACCATAAAACCATTGCATGGAACACCTGCATTGTGAGACGTTAGCTCTAAAGGCCTACAATTAAGGTTTCTTTTTTTAATAAATTAGTTACAAGTACAAATAATAATATAAAATCTTAAATATAAAACTATAAACTGCACATTATGTATATTTTAATTATTTTTCAAAACTATAAAATAACTTTGTACAAAAATAAAGAATAATATTATTACTCTTTGTATGTATAAATATGTAAATGCAATTATATTTCAATGTTTAAAGAAATGTCTCGATTGAAAGTTTTATTGTAAAGTTTCAAAAATTATACTACAATATTTCTTAGATATTTTATAATAATTATCTTACGTATTAAATGATGTATAATCAAGCCACAATGTTTTTTGCGCTCGTTCCTCTGGATTCAGACTATAGCTTCCCCATAATGGAATTTGTATTTCATCTTCTAATTTAAATTTGTCAACTTTTAGTTCAGCAAATTTTGACCAGAAACTCGGGTCTGGCGAACATCGGATTTTGGAAAATTTAACAACATTATCCGACATTATTCCTGTCTGTTATTACACTTAAAAATAAAATGTAATGTGCCAGAGTTTAAGAACTTTTATAATTGCGAATAATGTAAAAGAATCATTTCTAACAGTAAAAACATAGACGTGAAAATATTTTTCAAACGTAATTTACGTATTAGCTTTCAAAATATAACCTTAAAATTCTAATTATGACTCACATTATAAGAAATATTAATTCGAGTTACCTATAATTAATTTACTAATTAATATCAGGTCTTTCCTTTTACAGAAAATATAAATAACACTATATTATATAAATGCTAATGCGAAGTTTTAATTTAATGTGCAAAATACATCGTCATAACATTGTCATACATCAGTATGTTTATATACACAAACTCGCCTTTGATTTATTTTTACCTCTAAGCACCCACAACTGCATATAGAATAATTTTCTATTTAATTGTTTATTAGTGTGTGCGCGGGAAAATTAAAATTGAGCTTGCATTATTCTTCCTGTCACAAATCAGAATTTTCTATTGGATCTACAATAACAGTTATGTATTATAATTATTTATCATATACTTTATATTCAATTGCATTACATTATGAGATCACGACGTATTTCAAAATGTAAATATCAAGCTCGAAGATATTAAGATAAATATTTAATGTGAATTTTTTGAAATTTAAGAAATTAATTAAATTATGAATAGTTTTTATTCGAGGATATTGTAAGTTTCATAAGGTTTATTAGATTAATGATATAAGGTGGGTAGGCTTTGTCGATCCAAGTCACATAATAACTTTTAAACTTTTGACAATAGTGATTATGAAGAAATTAGATTAGAATTCAGATAATTATCACTTTATGTTTTCTTTTTGTATCGAATAAATTGATATTTGTGGCTGATTATGCATGGTCGCGTAAGATTAACAATACATTCATTTATGCTTATTCGATTCAATGAATAGAATGGGAAATTAAAGATTATGAAAATCACTGATGTAAATTCTATAATATTTCATTTATTAGGTAAATTTTTTTTTGCTTATATATTTACCGCGATTAATTATTTATGCAGAAAACAAGTATCAACATGAAAGATTGCATTGTTTTTCGAACGATTTTTCATTTTCTTTCCAACTATATCGCCATTGATTGGATTTTACTGTCAACGTTGACAAAATATATTCAAAATATTTAATTTTTTTTGTCCTTATTTTTTTTTTTTTTTAATATCAAAGATTATAATTGAAATATATTACATAAAATAAATAAAAAAAAAAAAGTATATTTTTCAGACTGTTTATAATACAATGTAGCGACAACAAAACTTTTCATGCAACATATTTATTTCAACGCATTTGTTTAAAAGAATTTTTTATTTTTTAAGATGTTGCACTTTATACTCCACCAATTCTCTCTTTGACCGTATAAATGTCTCAATTAAAAGTATCATCAGAATGCTTTTTAAATGTTGTTTATTACGAATAATTCTTTAGTAAGTAAATGGTAAATTATCTAACTTTTTAAGTGTTCATTGATATTTCAGTTATTATGCAATGGATTATTTTAATAGAAAGTAATATCGCATATATCAATTCGTATATGAAAATAATTACAGTGCAATTAATAACAGAAGGAAAGAAAAGAAATTATTATAATTTTATGCTTAAATAATACAAACATAAATTACATTGGAATTAAAGAAAAACTAAGCTAAGACTAACTAGCAAATAAGATAATTTATAGTGTCGAATGGAAAATTGAATGGAAACAAAGGACAGAATATTTGAAGGCTATTCATTGATTGAACGACACCATGAAATGTTTACTACGCACATCTCTCTTAATTCTTATTATAAACAAAATCTATCGCTTTATAATTCTGTGCATTTACATTTTACATTTAAGCGTCGATTTCATGTGGGTAGGTAATCCTGTCGATGCACTCGCTTGTATGCGCCATGTGTGCGTGCGTGCGTGTGCGCGTAAGCGATAGTTGGCCTCTCACACATGAAACATATTGTATGAAACGTAAACACATTGGGGTTCGACTGCGGCTCTACTGATTCATTTTGTAATTAAATTTAAACTGTTTTAAAAATGTCTCTTTGGGTGGATAAGTATCGGCCCCTGAATTTTAAAAAATTAAGTTACCATTTAGAGCAAGCTCAACAATTAAAAAACATGGTAAGTAATTGGATTAGTCGATGAACATTCAAAAACATTAAAGGAAAAGGTTATAACATGAATATTACGCGGGAATATTTGTGGCTCTTATAATAATTGTGTATAAGATAGACGTTTTTCCCTATTTTAAACTTAAAAATAAAAAAATAAATAAAATATTACACTACGATCAATCTTGTTTTAATTAATTTTAAATGCAATATTGCATTGTGTGATTATTTTTATTTAAATCATCGAACGGACGATAAGTGTAGTCCAAAAAAATTTGAACAATAAAAATAAGTCTTTTTAATTATAAAGGTTGAACAAGGAGACTTTCCTCATTTATTAATTTATGGCCCACCAGGAGCTGGAAAAAAGACTCGAATTATGTGTATTCTTAAAGAACTTTATGGTAATGGAGTTGATAAGTTACGAATGGAATCAATGTTATTTGAGGTTTGTTTTACAGTTTTTTTTCTCCTCCTTTTGCTAAAATGATGCATTGTGTCAATATTTACAATTTTACAAATTGCCTTTTATCTTAGACTCCGTCGAAAAGAAAATTTGAAATTATGACTATTAGTAGTAATTATCACATAGAAGTAAATCCTAGTGACGTAGGTATTTACGATAGAATAGTTGTCATGAATCTTGTCAAAAGCACTGCTCAAACACATCAGATTGATCCTAGTGGTCAAAGGGAATTTAAAGGTACGATATCATTTTCCATTTATGCTTATGTATATTGCTTAATAGAAAAGCTTATTAAATATGCTCGTTATCTATTGTAATAGGTAATTGAAATTGTAAAAAAAATTTTCTCATACAATTTTTTTGTTTAACAGTGGTATTATTGACGAGCGTCGATCAATTAACAAAAGATGCACAGCATGCACTTCGTCGAACCATGGAAAAGTATGTTGGAACTTGCAGACTTATATTATGTACTAATTCAATATCACGAGTATTACCCGCTATAAAATCAAGATGCTTAGCAATTAGAGTTCCTGCCCCAAAGATCGATGATATAAAATCAATTTTACATTATGTAGCCAAACGAGAAAGTCTCAATCTTCCAGACGAGCTGGCTACTAGAGTCGCTGAAATGAGTGGGAGAAATTTGAGAAGAGCAGTTTTAATGTTGGAAGCATGCAGAGTGGAGCAGTAAGTAAAATTAGATAGGACAAGTTAACGTTAAATTATTATTTACTAAAAATGGTTGAAAAATCATCTCAAAACGAATCACCTACGGTCACTTTATTATTTGTAAAAGATTAAAATTTTTCAATATTTAAGTACCAATGAAATACATTAAACATAATGAAGTAGTGTAATAAGTGAATGTATGCTTATGGAAACGTATAGTCGATGGGAAAACATATAAGTTGTAAAAAGAAAGTTTTTACAAATTAAGAAATTATCAATAAATGAAAAAAACATTTTCACAACTTTTATCACAATTTATTTTATAAATTTCATAATGCTTTCAGATATCCATTTACAGCAGAACAAAAAGTTACGGAACCAGATTGGCAAGTTTATATTAGGGGCATCGCTACTCTTTTGGTCACCGAACAAAGTCCACAAAAATTATTGGAAGTGAGAACTAGGTTTTACGAACTGCTAACGCATGGAATTCCTACAGATTTAATATTTAAGGGATTGCTGCAAGAAGTTACTAAAAATTGTGATTTACAGTTGAAAATTCAAATTGCAAATGTGGCAGCCGATTACGAGCATAGAATGCATCAAGGAACAAAAATTATTTTTCATTTGGAAGCATTTGCTGCCCGATTTATGGCAATATACAAAAAGTTTATGGATGCTTCTTTAGAAGCATTTGTGTAAAAATCCTGTTCGCAGTTAAATATATATATATATTTTTTTAGATTAAGTTGTTATATTTACAATATTAAATTATTAAAGACACTTATTAATAAATGATTATATTTTATTTCAAATAGTAATTAAAATTATAATTCTTAATTTATTAAATATTGTAGATTTACAAAGCTGCCAAAGATAATGCTGAGATTAACGTTGCAGCTACTACAATCCATCCGCTACTGTAAACTTCCTTCATATTCAAGCCCTTGCCCAAGTCCCACATCTGAAAGGAACAATATCATTTATTATTTGATTAATTATGATGCAACTTTGATCTGTTATTAATTTAATTCAAAATGCCTTATACCAAATGTCTCAGTCCATTGCTGTAATGATACGTCAATGGTATAGCGAATAGCGCTTTTCCTAAATATAACAGCGCAGCTGGTAAGTTCCAATTAGTAATAACTTGAATAACACAAGGAATTCCTCCGGGAATGAATAATGTTCCTGAAACGAAGGATTTAATATTATACTTCTAACAAAAATTACGGTTTTGTTAAAAAAATATGAATTACAATGAATGACACATTAACGCGCTTACGTAACGTACAATTATTTAATTTATTATTAGGCATTTAAAATTTCATTTAAAATAATTATACATTAAAGTAAAGATAAGTTAAAGATAATTTACCGAATCCAAGGAAAATTCCGTATAAGCTCAGGAGAACTCCAGAGGCACGATGTGTGATGGACAAAAATGATGTTAACTGAACCTGGTATATCGTTAGATGTGGTGATAATGGTCGAGCGAGACGTAAATTTTTCTGCGCATACGTTTCAGGTTCGCAGCACATTAAAGCTGCAGATGTAGAAATCCGCGATGGACTAAATGTGAGATAATAATTGTACAAATATTTATCGCCTTCAAAATCTATGAAAAATAATTATTATGTAACCTACTTGGATGTATATAAACAACGAAAATTATTAAGATATAAATTACGTCTGCATATTAATCTGAAACGAATTTGATCAATTTAATATCAATGGCATAAAATAGACAGGGCATTAACATTTTATCTATTGTTCGATAAAGAAAGAAAAAAAGAAAAAAAACAATACTAACCTAGTAAAATTAAGCGCCATTTTATTATTAAAAAGTATTGGAATTAAAATAATATTATTTTCCAATTTTTGCTTTAAAACTGTCGCCACATTAAGAACGATAGATAATAATAGACAAACAGGTAATTAAATAAATCGGGTATGGGCAGAAATTTCGCACAGTAGATTCTTGTTATGGTAAGTAATAATCTATGTTCTGAGCGTTTGAAGATTCATCTGTCCAATTGTTGGACAAAACCTGTGCTGTCATCATCAACTGAAAATTAAATTAAACAAAAAAATAGATTCGCAATATGATATTTCGTTTGTAAATAATATTATTGATGTGTACGTTGGCGCACAGTGAATTTTGTAAAATTTTCGAAAAAAAAAAAAAAAAAAAAATCTTTTTGTTTTACTTTGTTTTTTTTTTGTTAAAATATATAAGAGAAATAAATTGATAAAAAAAAAAAAAAAAAAAAACAAAACAAAAAAATTATTAATTAGGTGAAGGTATTATTATTATTATTATTATTATTATTTTTTTCTTATTAATTTTATCGTTTGTATAGTATTTTTGTAATATAATTGAAAAATCAATGTAGCGGAATGTACATTTTTTGCATTTGCTTATATTAAATGCCGGCAAGGTGGACTTTGTGTTCAAAATTCTTTCACGATCTCATTGGAAATATTTATAATCGATATTTTGTTAAAACACTTTTTGCGTATCGGATCATGTAATATGGTAATAATGAAGGTCGTCAAAAAGTCAAAGGCGATTAGGAAAATAAGAATCGATCGATTAGGTACATATTTACTTATTTATATATTGACAATTTCATTACATACGTACATTGAAACTCGCAGAGTTCACGTAATTCGATTATATATATATATATATATTTGTTTGTTTGTTTGTTACAATGTTTAAACGTGTGTGATGATTTTCATACGTATCCAATTATGCACATAGACGTAATTATCCTCGCATACAAATCGTATATGTTTAATTATAATTGTAACGTTATTCAATATGAAATCAATATGTTTCAATCTTATAGCGAGCATGCACAATTGTTTCTAAAACTTTAAATAATTGCTCGTAAGACATTTCTAGTTGACTTTAATAATTCACAGAATGGAGAATAAGCAAAGCAAAAAATTTAGAACAAAATTAATTTTAATTCTATGATTATTAAAAATTAATGTAAAAGCAAAGGATATGATAACAAATTTTTACCCTTACATTATGGTATACAGGTAAGTCTCTACCGAACGATCAATTACATTTATGCATATGTAAGCGTTTCAATTAACTATGTAAAATTCCAATTTATAAATTCTATATAAATGTTTTAAATTTTTATGCCGTTATTGTTACGATGGTTGTTTAAAATTTCTCATAATCACAAGTTTTTGTAGTACAAAGAAGCGGCAAATTGAAATTTCTTATACCATAAAATACAGTGTAATTTTGTCAATTAAAGTTTGTTTTATCATTCGTACTTAGTATCGTACGTTAGATCTTCCAACGAATGATTATTAATTCCATACAAATATCCATTAATATTTCAATAATAATATTATTATTGCGAATCTTGGATCTTGGCTCTCCAACTGCCTATTACGATTCTTTTCACTTTAATTTCGAAATAATACCGCGTAACGAACACTTTTTACATCAGGTTATTAATCTTCGTAATTAATCAATAACAAACATTTTTGTTCCTCCTTCCTCCTTCCTCCTTCCTCCTCGTCCCCCCTCCCCGACCCCGGCCCGTCTCTTTTTATTCTACATATTAACCGCGAGAAACACAGGTTACATTATTAAGCGAATTGCTCGGCTCCACGCACCTATCAATATTAATTAAGCAATCACTCTCTAATCGACTTTGCTACATATATTTCAGTTGCATTATTTTATGAACACGATTAAACATTATCTAGCCGTGCTATTTAAATAACAGACTTCTATCTCATGTACATTTACATTAATGCAGTTTTTCTTGATGTACAAATTCACAGACTTGCAGTAACGAATGCATAAAAATTGCATTTTCAGGCCTCAAAAAAATCAATGAATTATATAAATTATTAACAATTATCATTGTATAGCATTACATATGTTAATCTATAATCAACGAGACATATATATGTTATATTGATAAAATGAATGTTTGGTTACAAGATGCAATTTCATGTGATATGCGCATGAGTTGTATGTATTGTTATTTTTATTAACGAAGCAAAACTTAGCAGAACTATTAGTTACGAATATGCATAAATTATAATGAAATTACATGTACAAATACATAATTTTATGAACTATGTATATAATTTATGCATAATTCTTTCTATTTTAGAAAAGCTCAATACAGTCAATAAAAATTATATTTTTATCGAAAAATGTAAGCGCGCTCTTACGAATTTTTAAATTAAATGTACAGTTCTTGTATTATTGACTAACGAAACCGAACATACGCAGCCTGCGCACATGCATACACTTTTATTTCCTTCTACTCCCCGAGAAATCGAAGAGCTTTTACTTTTCGTTTTTAATCTTATATTACGATTATTCATTTATAAACTTATATCTAATATGTACTTAATTCAAACCATATTTAAGCTGACTCTGATGAAATAAACTTAATTACTCACCAAATTACTTCAAGACTGGAGTCAATGTAAGAAATATTTTTATTCTTTGTCAGGAAGTAATCATCTTCATTTTTCTAAATTTCGAAAACATTCTAAAAAGTGGAAGTAAATTATGAAACTAAACCGTTTGTTCGCAGAATAAATTTAATAATGCATTAAGACTTTAAGCTTCATCAAAAGATACTTAAATATTTTATTGTAATTTACTTTTCATTGGTCATTTGCGTAGTAATAAGATTCATTGGGTGAAAATTATTTGTACATATATGTAAAAAAAAAAAAAAAAAAAAAAAAAAAAAAAAAAAAAAATTTTTTTTTTTTTTTTTTTTTTTTTTTCAACAAACGATTTAATTACTTCTTTACTATTATAAGAGAATTTCTACATAACAGATAACTTATCCATGTAATATTTTATAAAAACATAACCAGGACATCGCTGATCAAATCTAAAAACCCCAAGAGAAACAACAGTGGATTAAAACCAAGTTCCCAAGTCTTTTACTCTTAATTAAGATCAACCGTTAGAAAATAATAGGAATGTCTAGGAAGCAATTGACAATACGGACTTAAATTCAGTGTTTTTCATTTTTTACTAGTCTTTGACAATGGCAACTCTTAATAAAAAAGGTGCACACTCTATGTAGTTCATTTTTTCAGTACCTTTACTCGTTAAAGAACAGTCTTTAAATTTTGCAAAAAATACACCTTTAATACTTTTATGAGATCAACAATAAATTTGTTCTTTTGTCATATATTATACATATTATCGTCTGTTAGTTTTTTTTTTTTTTCTTTTTTCTGTTTTCTTTTTTTAAACTTTAATGAAGCTAGTGAAAGTAAAATCGTACATGTACGAGCAAAAATGATAAAAACAAAAAAAAAAAGAGAGAAACAAACAAAAACGATATCTTCTGAAAAATTAAAATATTATCCAAATAAAAAATCCATTCCTGAGATTCTAAAGAAAATGTTTCTATTTAACTTAAATTAAGAAAGAATAAAATATATTTATGTTTTTAATATACAATACTTCAAAACTATATGAATAGGATAAGAGTATTATTAACAGAATAGTAATAAAATTATTAATTATAGCACAAACTAGAAGACAAACTGGAAGAATATAACTCGAGTGATTTATGTTAGAGAGATAAATTCTTAATCCCACTTTTTGGAAAACATATTAGAAAAGTGAGTTAAAAGTTCATTTAATTATTTATAAAATTTAATTGTTTAAAAAATTTGTATTTCCATTATTCGTATTAATATTTAAAATATTATAATAACATGTTAGAATTAATAGTAATTAAATAAATAAAAGTGTCTAGAGGTATAATTTTCTTACTTTTCCTAAAGCTAACTAATTATTTAAGTAAAAGTTGATTAAATTAACATTCATTTTCACTGATGTTTCCCCTCAAATAAAGAAAAAGCTTATTTAAGACCACAAATTTCTTTTTACAATAATAAATAAGTTTGCTGCATCATACGTACTTCAATAAACACTCAAGTAATCTTAACAATTAAAAATGCTTAAGAAACTCTTTTTCTTGGCTTGTACACTGATATCACGCATAAACATTCAATGTGCCGTATTTGACAATTAGACATTACTGTCAGGTCTTTCACTTACACCCATTGGTTGAGCATTTTGAACTAATGTTGACTTTGTATTTGATGACATTCCTTGCGAATCAGTGATAACTGTTGCTCTCATTTCGTCCCTCGATGCCCTATAAAAACAATTATAATAATTAAATTAACGACTCTTTTCAAAATATTCTACTTTAAAATTTGCATACAAATAATTTAGATGATTATATTTCATAATAGTGTAAACAGAATTACATAAAGATCTAATGCTCTAAGAACTACATAAATAAAATAAAAACAATCAATCATTCTCTGAAAATACAGATAAATAACACATAAACAACTATCGACACCTTTTTCTGTAATAAAAATACATTATTTTATTTAATAAATAAAGCAGCTAACAGCGTAAAAAAAGTAATAATAGTATTAAACACCAATTTTCCTAGAAAGCAAGAATTATTTGTCTATGATAAAGAGACTCCAGAACTTTTGTTAACTAACTAAGACGTTAAATTTAATATTAAGGTAGGCAAATTTTTTTATCAACTACTTTCAAAAAGAAAAACAAACAAAACAAAAAAAATAGTAGTAAGTGAATGTAATGTTGCAAACATCTATAGATGGAATAATTTATAACATGGTCACATTTAAATTTACTGTTCCCCCTTAAACGTTCCTAACTTTTATAAATTACACGCTCGAATCATTAGACCCGTGTACTGGTTAATAAGATTATTTATATTTCTAAGGTGTATAAGTGTATAAGAATTTATAAATTTTGCATTTAAAAAGTTGGATTTTCATAGTAAAAATACTGGTGTCTCAGAGCAAATAGCACATAGAAAGTTTGATGAATGAGACTACAGGATGTTAATGTAAACTACAGGATTAAGACCAGTTTTGGAGATTAAGGAGTGTTTTTGTATTATTGCCTGGTTAGTGGAGTACTGCGATTAATGCTTTTGTAGCTTATGTTGGTCTCCAGACGTCAGGATCCTCCATTAGAGTCGAGCGATGATCACCAGGTGGAATTTGTTCTTGTGGAGAACCGACTGAGGTAGGTGGGCCTGCTGCATCCAACCCGCTACCTCTATTGTTTTATATATTTGACAATAATGTACATTCTTTTTGTCACTGTGATATATGTTAATATTTTGGACAGCAATGAGAGAACTCAACGTAACTTACGAAGAATAACAAACAAAAGCGGATATTATTTAACATTACACTCGATGATAAAACTTAAACGTGTAAAAGCCAAAACTACGTATTTATTATAGCAATGGATAGTATGTTCGTTGGTAATTTTTGAAACGAAACGTTGCACTATAAAAACTAATTTGGTGTATGTCAACTATTAGATGTATTAGGTGAAATGTATTTATAGCTGAGTTATTTACATATGTAAATCAAGTTTTCATTAAGGATAAATTTATCGATACTTTTTATCCTCAAGATTTTCATAAATAAAGATATTTATAGTGACAATTTAATTTTCGTATTATAAAACAGAAAGAATAAGGTATTTTAATGTTATTCTTTCGCATTTGTTCACTTATTTTATCTATGTGTAGTTAAAACATATACGAAGCATATTATTATATTTTGTTCCCATTATAATTTCATTAAAACTGCAATATTTAAATAACCAAATAGTCTGTTTAGTTATATATGAAAATTTTAAATTGTACGTTAGAAGTATTTTACTTACTTTTTGCCAATAGCCATCATTCCATAAATTACACCGGTAGCGAATATCAATCCACTTCCAAATATAGTCCCTATGCCAGGACACAGAAAAATTGCTGGTAATGCGAGGCTGCAATTGGTAATTGCAATTTCAATAAAAACATGCAGCATAATGTGATACGAGTATCGTGTAGTATTAGATTTTTTAAATTAAATTTATGTTACTTTTTCACCTTTGAAATTTTTTCTTTCCAATACTCAACTTCAAAATCACTATTGGCCATTAGCGTAATATTAAGTTTTAAAAATATAATACTTATATAAAGCAATAATTCCCATTAGAATTTTATACCATTAATTTCCCATTAATATTACCATTAATATTCATAATATCATTTAATGAATTAATACATGTAATTTAAAAATACAAATTCTTTATTCTCTACGTAAAATCTTATACCTCGAAAAACACAAACTTATTATTGGATGTAAATTAAGATGAAATTGCGCATGAAAATGTCTAATAATAAAGTCTTTTAAATATTTTTAACAACATTACAATGTTGATTTTTTTTAATTTCAATTCTTCCAAATACTTTCTATTAAAATTAACAGTAATAAGGTATTTATAATTATTATTCATTGATAATTTTTGTTCACTTGTATAATTATTTATAGGCGTTTAATTTTAATCTAAATTATCGAATGGATTGTGAGTATATTTAATATAATATCACAACACTTGTCAAACAATATATTCACCCGATAATGAATAAGCGATAATTTAATGTTTCACTTCCTTTAGGAAGTGTATACTAACAGTCACAATACACTAGAAAAAACAATTCCATCAAATGGATTGATTAAGATCAAGGTGATTAAATAAAGTGTTTTTATGCAAATAAAAAGTATCGGGCAAGAACATTTCAAATTCTGAAATAAATGTATATCTTTGTAGGTTACCTTGGCTAACAACTGATTCATTTACCAAGCTGAAAAATACTTTACTCTTTAAAAATTAATAATCGAATACTTACACGCAATAAGCAGCTGCTCTATTCCAATAGGGTCTCGTATCTACCCAGTCACTTAAATTCTGAACAAAGGCAATGAATAAACAACAACAGGGTGCTTCGATAGTAACGACTATAAATCCAGCAACCATTTGCCACAAGCCACCTAAGAAGCAGTCCACTTGCGCTAATAAAATTGATGCACAATTCCATGCGCCCAAAAAGATTGCAACTGTAACATATAAAATATATTACCTGTAGAAAAACATTGTTGGCTTGTCTTAAAGCAGAATTTGAAGTAAATAGCAGAAAGATAATGTATTATTAAAAAAATATTACTCCGACCGGTAGTTCTTAGTTCGAGTTGAGCAAAATCATATTCACAATTCTAATATTCGATATAATATTGACTTTTGGTTTTGCTGTATCGCTATCGATAGAACCTCGTGTATAATAAGCTACAAGTATTCATATTTTGTACGACAACTCGATAGTTGATAAGAACATTGTATTTGGTTAAAATTCAATATATATAATACGCATTGTCATATATCTGCAATCACGATAGATAAACGTTCATGCTTAAATTAAACAGACACGTTTGTACAGAAATATAACGGAGATGAAACATTGTATAAGGCAATATCAAAACAACGTAGGACGCACGTAGAATAGAACTTAAAGTAACCAACGATAAAGTAATGATAATGAAAGCAACGCTCAAACCATCGGGTATAAAAAAATTTAGTTCAATCATCGGCTTTTTCAAAAGATAAAAAACAAATCTTACCAAGTTCGACGAGCTCGGTAAGAAAGGAGACTAAGAATATGCTCAGTGACTCACGACATAAATAAGCTGCCGTTACGCGCTAATGATTATAATGATTTTATAGGGAAATAGCTGTGAAGCTTCTACTTCTCAATAATGCAATGCACACACAATGCTCCAATTATTATAATTACTAAGTCATAGCCTTAAGGAGCCGTTTGAGAGATGTAGGCTAGTAAGTAGGACGATGAATAAAACGGAGCTTCGCTCGGATGTAGCTTAAATTGAACGAGTCATCCCCCTCCGGGGGAGGGGGGGGGCGGACGGAGTTAGTCGCGGATAAATCATAGACTCCAAGTGTAAGAACGAGTCGGATTAGCAACGCTAACGGCCAAAAAGAAGATGAGGTGACTGATATAATTACTAAAGCTGCCGACAGTCCCAAGACCCCTTCCAGCGTACTTCATCCACCAGGGCACGTCGTCCTTGTCGGCGGTGTCCTGTCCGGGTTTCCGCATTATAGCCGCCAACCTGTCGCCGATCGACTGCCGTGCGGGGAGCATCGCGGGAGGGAAAG